TCTCTCTCTCACACACACACACACACACACACACACACACACACATACACACACACCCCACACATGCATTCATTCATGCACAAAGTTTTCCACATGTGAGAATAAAGTTTATAACTCTTCAAAATTCCCTTCCAAAGATCAATGAATTTCTTTCCCTCTGTAACAAGGTCAACCCCCAGGGCACTCTGGCCCCCCAAGGAATGTTCTGAGACTTTCAGGACCTTAAGTGCTTTTAGTGACTGTCAAGAATTGCTTACCTTCAGTTCCAAGTTGGTGATGCTGAAGGAAACATGGGAAAATCGCGACGGAAAAGAGAGGAGACTCTTTCCAGCCAGCAATGAGCCTGCAGCCCAGGGCTTGCTCTTCTGCACCCCTCTGCTAATGATGGCTGAACTTTAACATCCACTTGGACTGGGATATATTAGCACCTGGTTTCATAAGAATGGTTTCCTTATTTTTATTTAATTATATTTAATACAGTAACACATGAATGCTGTTTCTAGAAAATGTTAGAGAACTTAATAAATTAACAGGTACATTGAGTCCTGCAAAGCAAAGCAAATGAAGGTGCTGGCCAACTTGGCTAGGTGGGGAGTGTCCTCACATCCTTGGTCCTCCTGCAAGGGGGCCTGGCACTCGTGGTTTGGACCCCTACTCCTGTTTTCATGCCTGCCCTCACCTCCTCTCCCGCATACCCACAATTCTGCTATGGCTCCAAAGCCAGCTCTCAAATCCTAGGCCACATCTCACAGCTTTCTGCTCTCAGTGGTTGTGTAACTGGAACTACAGAGGTGACCAAATGTGGACCCAGTCCTGCCACCACTCAAACCAGCAGTCTTTCGTCTTCTTGTGCCCCTCCCCCCTGGATCCAGAGCAAACCCCACACCGCAGGTGTCCTGCTGTCTTTCAGTGTGCTCGGCCTCCTCTTCATCCCAGCAGCAGTGATCACTGCCTGAGTTGCTCTGAATTAACACTGAACTGCCTTGTGACAGCGCTGGATCCTTGTCTTATCCACGCGGTGCACTTGCTGCATCTCTGTGGATTTCTGTCTTGTTGCTCAGGTGCACGGAGCTCCCTGAGGAAGTGGGTTATTTGGTGCATCTTGTTAAGTCCTACAGAATCCATCCTGGTGACATCCATTTCATCGCCAGTTAAGCACATTTGTCAACCGGGCAGTAGGCAGGGGGACTTCCTGGAATAGTGTCATCAGTGCCTACAGGGTTGACTGAACTCCGTGTATCTGATTTTGCCTTCTGGATGCCACTTCCTAGCCAGGTGACTTTGAGATTGGAAGATGAATTTCCACATCTCTAATGAGGCTAACACTATTTAACCTGATTATTTCACATATTTCTATGCACAGAGTGACCCTGTATTAAATTGCTCCGTGAACATGAAGCAATATGAACGTGGTATTGGAGAAGGCCCTGGGAACCTCAAAGGACTGCATTAGGCTGTGGGTTCTACACCCGGGCACACAAATGGGGGAGAGAAATAGAATTACGGAGCATGCTCTGCACGTGTCTTCTGTGTTGACACGCAACGTCTGTGGGAGATGATGGGCCTGGATAAACCATGTGGCCAGAGGATACAGGACTTCCTATCACAGGCCCAGGCACAGCAACATGGAAAGGCAGAGTCCTTGAGGATTGTTGAACAAGCAAATGAGAGGAACATACATTCTTTGAAGGGAGAGCTCTAAGATTAATTGTCCTCAGCCAGACCTCCTTACATTTGGAATATGCCTCACCTATTATCCCAAGAAAAATATTTTAAAGGGGATTTTAGTACTTAATTTGTATGTTTCTGGTATAAAAGACATTTATTTTTCCTTCTATTCCCTGTTTTCATCATGACCCTGTGACAATAATATGTCATTACTGTCAACATGTGCTAAATATGGGCTATCGATTTTTGCTAAAATCTGCTGGTTACTTGTACTGATACTGCAGTGTTTTCTAAATGAATTAAGGTCAGAGAACAGATTTCAAACAAAAATCCATATCCTCAATGCCGCACACATTATTTGGTGAACTGTGCAATCATTAAGTTTCTATTTTGTAACTTTTAGTTAACATGGGAAAAATTACATGCACTCATCCAAGTCCATTTGACTTAAGAAGTTAAAATCAGATGAAAAGTCCAAATAAATGTCTACTGAAGCTTTACTAAATGTTTCCCAATGCAGTGTTACCTCTTATGAAGGTAAAGAATAGTTCTTAATTCCTAAGACATCAAAGCATCCATATAGGGTAAGAAATAAAAATCTCCCGCTACCCAGGGAGAGCGACTCTCGTGGTCAATAAGACTTTCCACATGTGCTTTGAGGACTGTTTCCTGCTTATTTAAACCTTAAGCAACAGAAGAAACAACCCCCAGTGGTGAACTTGGGGGCCGGCTGTGCTGAGGGTCCTCTAGTTAGGAGGCATGCAACTTGTCAGGTCACCACAAATGCCAGCTTCCAATTTCAGGTCATTTTCTTGATCTTTGGGAAAGAGTGACACCTACCAGCCCTCAAGCCCAGACTTGGTCTTGATTTGTGTTCTGTTCTAAGCCATACTTTTAGGATTTCTTGTGGTGTACCTTGGTTTTACACAATGTTTTTTCGAATTTTATTTTTGATTTTTTCCCTCCACCATCTTGTTAGCACTGAGTAGAAATGGGATTTGCAATTGAAACACTAAAATTCACTATTCAGTCAGCCAAGACACTTCCCTCTTTTAATTTCCATAAATGTCAGTAGATGCCTCTTTTCACCTTTGGGTGAATAGTCAATAGAAAAATCAATTCCGTGACAAATGAACAGCAACACAATTTTACATCTGAATTATTTAACAAAGACTATTTTTATCCTTGAGGGAAAAGACTTAAGGTAAAAGCTCAGCAGCAAATTATTAACTTGGCATTATAAATGTTGTCCTTAGAGAGGCACATTCCTGGGAGATCACGGCAATTTTTCTCAAGTTAATTTGCTCATCTCCCAGAACTCTTTAAATTGCATAATAGGAAATTATTGAGAACAGGTAAATGCACATGGACGTGATGGACCTCCTGCGCCTTTAGATCATGTTGTAGTCCAGGTGTGACATCCAGGTTGTGAGAAATTCAGTGTTTTGTAGCCCCTGAAACCAAGTGGAATGCATGTCTCATTTTAAGGAAAGAACTTGCATGAACTCAAATCTATCATTTTATCAAGCTCTATCCCTATTTCTAACTGATATTTCCTGGATGTTGGAAAACACAAGATATTCTGCAATCTGAGCAGGGAGATGGAAAGCAGATCCACGTCTTGTCTTGTCTGTCTTGACTTGACATCAGCAGCCTCCCAGAATCAGAATGGAGCCCTTCATCACTCCATGTTCTGAGCCGTGAGGTGCCAATCACCCGGGTCTGAGGTTGCACGGTTATTTTTAAGGACTACTGTTTCCGTAAAGGAAGGGGATGTTTTGAGGGGCAGCGTCCTAGCCCCATGGGAAATGGGTTTGGACTCTGACCATCAGGCATCTGCTTGCGTGTGCTGGGCTGACTCTGGGTCCTGCTGCAGAGGCCTGCATTCACACTGGGTGCTTTCCCATTGTCCCATCCGTCCTTAGGACCTGAAGGGCACTCTTTATGTGATCCAACCCAGCAGAGGGCTGTTCATGAAAATGCTGCCCCTGGCCTGATGACAGTCCACAGGGGTGGGGTGAGGGGTGGGGGGTGGATCTAGTAAGACCATCTTGGGCCCCAGGGTTACAAAGGGGATCCATCTGTCACTTTTCTTGAGGGACTGTTTTTTCCCAGCTCTCTGTAAACTGTGACTTCCTGCTTCCTCACCCCTGAAGGGCAAGAGCTCCCATAAGCTAAAGTGTGCAGATCTCTTTGAATGTCAAGTTTAAAAACCACAGAACAATTTCCAATTATTTGTTTAGCTCCTCCACCAAACACGTGTTTTCCAAGACATTTAAACTGACAGAGACCCTGTGCACATTTCCAAAAGCCTGGGTTTGGGGCCTGTTGTAGAATAATACCATCCCCCACCGTGACATCCAAAAATAATAATTCCGGACATATTATAAGCTCATTTGATCCCTTAAGCTCACAGGATTGTCTTCTTAGGCCACCAGGAAGTCTATAATGCCTGCCTCGCTCTCTCCATGACCCCACTCACTGACCATCCAAACTCACCGGGGTCTGTTTCAATCCACAGCAAGCGAGGGCCTGGGACCACCCCCACTCCCCCCACCCCCACCTCCCCCTGCGGGATTTTCAAGCAGCAGAGCCTTGTTTATAAGCTCCCGGGGACTTATTTAAAAGTTCTTGTGTGTCAAAGGGACTTCTCTGTAAGAGGGCTCCTGAGGGCCAGGCGGGTGCTGCTGGAGGGCGTCCTGCCCCCCGCCCCTCACCCCTCAGAGGTGGGGCACCACCTGCTGCATTCAGGAAAACGAACCTACAAGTGAAATAGACTGTGACAGTGCGTCACCTTCCTCGTGAACATGGGCCAAGCCTTCACACACTCACTAAAATCACTTTGAACTTTTAAAAATTCTTACCTTTAAAAATAATAAAAGCTCTGAACTTTTAATTTTTTTCTTTTGGTATAACTTCCTTTAGTTTTAAATCACATTTAAATTGTAGTTATAATTCTAATGTTTTGCTAAGAGTTTAGAGGGCTTCTCTTTAATCGCCAAGGGAAAACTGGGTTCCATTTGCACAGGGTCATAAACTGTGAGAGGGCTTGCCTGCGGCATGATCTGATTTGGATGTCAGGATTATCCCCACTCAGCAACGCTTAGGGACTTTTCAAGTCACAGAGCTAACAGTGGCAAAATCACAACACCCTATCCATGTGGCAGATGGAGTGCCTTTCGCTTTTCTCCTTTGCTTTGTGTTTTGCGGTGCTGGGGATTGAGATCGGGGCGCTCTGCCTCTGAGCTACACCCCACACCTTTTCATTTTTTATTTTGAGATAGGTTCTTATTAAGTTGGCAAAATTTGAACTCGTGATCCTCCTGCCTCCGTCTCCCTAGTTCCTGGGACTACAGGCGTGTGCATAGGTACGATTTTAAGGCAATTGTGTAAGTCATCTACACGTGTCACCAGGCCCTCAGCCAGTCCTTAGGAGATGAATGAGGACCGCTCCCACTCTGTGGCCGGTCAACCCAACCAGGAAGCCCTTGCTCACCGTTAGGGCCAGCTCAGGATCCACCCAGGCAGCAGCTCTGGAGTCCGGGTTTTCCAGAAACATCTTCAGGTCAGTGCCCAGCCCCAGCTCAGACTCCGTGTGGGTTTGTCATCCTTGTTAAAGAAGGAAGTCCCCTGTCTTGGCTGGCAGTTGTGTACACCAAGTCCTGTGGATGTCCCTTCTGAGTTCATTCTCTTTTCCAACTGGTTAGTGACCACTCACATCCTGAAATTCAGACCTGAGGTTGCTTCCTCTGGAAATCTCCCCCACAAAACCCCTTCCCAGGTAGACA